AGTAATATTCAAACGATAATGATAATTAAAAGGTGAAGGAAAGATACATACCCGTCACCACATCAGGAGTCGCTCGCGCCTCCTCTGCTGTCATCTGAAACGCCCTGCTCTTCGCCACTGGCGCATCAGATCGGCCCTGCCGGCCATCCGTAATCCTCAAGGTGGCAGGGGCAGGTGCAACCACCTTCCCCGCTGCAGCTAAACTGGGACACTGGGACTTTTTATGTCCCCTCTGATTGCACTGAAAGCAAATCAGATCTGATGCTGTAACCGTAGTAGCAGGGGCCGTACAATCCCTGCTCAAATGCCCAATCCGACCGCACTTGTAGCAGCCGGAACTCCCTGCCTTGCACGCCCCCTCGTGCAATCTCCCACACTTGCCACACCGACCGTGGCTCTGCTGACTCCTGGACCTGTGATCTGAAACCTTGGGCTTTTTGCCCACACTGCCTGAACCCGAAACCGCCTCCGGTTTCCTCTTCTTCTCCATCTCGAGATCAATCTCCCTCTCCCTAGCTCTAGCAATCATGTCGTCCAGCGTTTTACAACTGGACCGGCTCACAAACATGCGGATATCACTCCGCAACATCTCATGATAACGGGCCTTCTTCATCTCCTCATCGGCTGCATACTGAGGAACAAGAAGAGCCCTCTCCCTGAACTTGGCGGTGATCTCCGCCACCGTCTCTGTAGTCTGGGTAAGGTCCTGAAACTCCCTAGCTAGCTGCTGCACCTCAATGACCGGTGCAAACTCCGCCCTGAACCTAGTAGAGAAATCAGTCCAGGTCATGGCATCCAATGCTGCATCATCCCCGATGGCATGTCCAACCTCCTCCCACCAATCCCGTGCCCTGTCCTTCAGAAGACAGGACGCCAATCTGACCTTGTCCCCCTCGGGACACCTGCTAGTGCGGAAAGCGTTGGCCACATCCGCCAACCATCTGGTACTCGCTATGGGGTCCCGCGCCCCATGATAGTCTGGAGCTCCGCATGCCCTGAACTCCCTGAACGTAAGTGTGCGCGACCCCATCATGGCCGCCATCTCAGCACGAAAACCACCCAATCTCTCATCCATCAGCTCTAAAATACCCTCCTTGATCGAACCGAAGATCACAGGAGTCTGCTCCAGTATGATGCGGGTAACCTCAGAAGAAAGGAACTCTCTGGTCTGCTCATCCATCTGCCCGACCTCCGGGCCTGATCCCGATCCTGATCCCCCTCCGGCATCTGAGCTGCCGACTGCTGGTCTCGGGCGCAAAACTACCATTCTGAAACATATCATAACAACATCAAAACACTGAAATATCACAAGGGATCGTGATACTACTACTAGCTTCCTGGTCTTGTCTTGGCCTTCCTTGATTCGAGTACGGATCCTCTGCTTTCAGTAGTACGGGCCCATACTACCTTCCACATCTATCCGTACTTTCCTCAAGGACTGCCTTGACTCCACCAAGTCACTTCTACTACTGCTATTCTCTGCTACTCTCATCCTAGGCTTGCCCTAGGGAAACCTCAGACTTAACACAACTGGTCCTCAGCTGCTGAAGGTCTCCTCATAATGCCAATTAGCCACTACCTAAACACCATCACATGTGATGAGGATCAGATAATCCTTCAAGTAAAAGACCCGTCCCTATAACGGTTGGACTCAAACAAGAGCTGCGCAATAGGGCCAGTTCCAGCACTCTGGGATTATTCAACCCTGACCACATGTGGTGTGACGTGTTCACCTAATGGCTAACTCCCATCACTCAGATTCCCACAAAGCACGAAGCAAGCAACATTCGGACAAGGGAAACAGACTCAAGCAAAACTATTCTCGTAACAAGAAACTGCACTAGCATAGGATGCTAAGCTCCCACTATCAGGCATAACCTAATCAGGCTATCCTACTGCTGTCTACTCAATTCTAGCATGCAATACTCATAAAGCTGTAATACATAAAGCAGGCACATAAGGCATTCTCCTAGATCCTTAGTCCTATATTAGCATGCTGTTCTACTGAAACTGAAACTGAACAAATAACTTGTATGGGTAATTTGGGAGTACTTACTTGAGCTCGGCTGATCGCATGCACACACCTCTATCTCGTTAAAAAAAACGATTTCTTTCCTTCTAAGTGCTTTCAAAATTTTTTTTTTTTTTTTTTTTTTTTTTAAAAAAAAATAAAATCTTTTATTTCCCTTAGTTTGAGTTCAGATACACCCGGAAGTGTATCCGAATCCCTCAAACCAGGGCTCTGATACCAACTTGAAACGACCCAAAAATACGACCCAAAAATTTTGTTTTTCAATGTAATCAAAACCATAATCTGAGTATCATAACATAAAAACATACGCGATGTATCCCAAATCATAATAAAATACTGTGCGGAAAAACTGTATCATACTATATCAATCAAGACAACTAAAACCATCCCCAGGATAAAAGCTAAGCTGTGGTGTGTGCGATGCTATCACCCCGAGCTCTTCCCTTTGCTTGCGGAAGTACCTGAAACCAAAACTGAAACTGTAAGCACGAAGCTTAGTGAGCTCCCCCAAACTACCACATACCATACAGTATCATATAAACACATATTGGGCCTGGCCCACTGCATCGGGCCGAAGCCCGGAAACTGCATCGGACCGAAGTCCGGAACTGACTGGGACCTTGTCCCCTGCATCGGACCGAAGTCCGGAACTAACTGCATCGGACCGAAGTCCGGAACTAACTGCATCGGACCAAAGTCCGGAACTAACTGCATCGGACCGAAGTCCGGAACTATCTGCATCGGACCGAAGTCCGGAACCGACTGGGACCTTGTCCCCTGCATCGGACCGAAGTCCGGAACTGACTGACTGAACATGGCATAGCATAACACATCATCTAGCATGAACACATATACTGCATACTACATCGGGCCGTAGCCCGGAACACATAACACTTAACACATAAAACATAGCATACAAATCCTGTCTGAGCCACGAAGGCATCAAACATACTAGCTACTGCATCGGACCAAAGTCCGGAAACTACTGCTAACTGAACGGGCCGGCATTGTGGCCTTAGACCCGTCCCTACTGGAAGGAAACTCACCTCGTAAACTGGCTGCTGAGTGTGTGGCTCTGGAAGCTAACGGCTGCTGCTCCTGTATCTCCCCGGCTACAAGTCCATAAACACACTCAATCAAATACTAAACACTGCACTTGGGTAAAATGACTCTTTTACCCTTGGTCAAAGTTACTCTCATTTGGACTGACTCGCCGAGTTGGGCCACCCAACTCGCCGAGTCCTACTCTCACTTTTCAATCCTACTCGCTGCTACTCGTCGAGTATGGCATCGACTCGACGAGTACCCTCTTGATCCAAGAACTCAGACAATCTTCATCCGACTCGCCGAGCCGTATGAACATACTCGACGAGTTGTTCTTGATCTTAAGAAGATTGCCTTGGACTCGCCGAGTTGTATGAACAACTCGCCGAGTCCCTCCATTACTGAGTCTACCTTCAACTCGCAGAGTCCACTCTCTAACTCACTGGTTCCACTCAACACTGCTAAAAATGAAGGAATCGGGGACTCGCGACTCAACTCGCCGAGTCGTTCTTCCCGACTCGCCGAGTTGCCGCCATGCAACTGTTTTTCACCCGATTTTGCTTGAATCCAACACATACAAATGATAGATCTGAGTCCAATAAGCTGGTTTACCACGTAAAGTTTCCAACTTTACGTGTACAACACATGAATAAGGGAAAATAAGGCTAAAAGATGCATAAAAGGGATAGATCTAGGGTTAATATGCAAAGTATCCTCATAAAGGCAATAGATCTGGACTATGGGACTTCTCAATGAATAGATCCAAGGTTATCTCGGCTTATTAGGGCGTTCATGAAAGCACAAGGCTTGGAACAAGCATCAACTAGTTCTTAGAAGAGTTCTAATGGAGGTTTAAAGCATAAAACAAGAGGGGAATCCGAAAATACCTCCAAATAACTCAGATTTGCCCTTGGATCTTGCACAACTCTTCTTCTCCTTGCTCCTTTCTTCTTCTCCTTCTTCAAGCCTTCACAAATCACACAAAATCACTTATAAACTCTCAAGGATGAACTAGGGTTTTTCTCACAGTGTTCTCAGGGTGAAGGAGGCAAGAATGGGGCTATAAGGTGACTTAAATAGTGGGCAACCCGGGGATTTAGGGTTTCACCCAGACGGATGGACTCGCCGAGTCCGGGATATGGACTCGCCGAGTCTCCAGCTAACACGTGCTCGAAGTCGCGACCCTACTCGGCGAGTCAGGCTATGAACTCGCCGAGTCCCTCTTGCAAATCTTTAAAACAATTACTAATAAATTAACATACCGGGAACGGGTCGTTACATTATAATTTAAGGTCCCCGATTAATCCCCGCCTAGTCTGATTAATCGTTTATCGTCACTTGACCGTCGAACGATTTTTACAACCTTGATATATATATATATATATATATATATATATATATATATATATATATATATATATATATATATATATATATATATATATATATATATATGAAATTTTGTGAAGTTTATATACTATATGAATTTTTTTTAGGGATAATGACTTGAAAGAGTAAGGAACTTTGGATTTTATTCACATTTAGTCACTCAATTTTTTTTCATTATCTATTTGCCACTAAACTATTGAATCTGTTCACATTTTGTCCTCATGAGTCATGACCGGTAAGTTAAAATATGAACAGTTTCAATAGTTTAGTAGCAAATAAATAACGAAAAAAAGTTTAGTGACTAAATATATACAAAATCGAAAGTTCGTTACCCTTTCAAGTAATTATTATCATTATTATTTTTATTTATGAAATCATGTGTAGATTAGAATGATGATATGAAATGTGAATGTCTTGATAAAAAATGTGGAGACATAAGATTAATTTTATAAAATATTTAATATTTAATATATAAAAATTAAATAGGAATGTATAAATTACAATAAAAAAAAAAATATGGAATCCGGCATTTTCTCATCCACAAGTTTAACTTCCCTGATGCAAATATCGTAATCCGCCATGTCATCCTGATGATCCTATACGATAGCAGCATCAGATTTCATTTCCTTCTTCCAACCAATTACAGACGTCCTACATGGCAAGTCTACATCCACCAGAAGTTCCATTTAGCAAGGACCTCACCCTTCTCAATTCTCATCGCAGCCACACACAACCAGCTAAAGGTTTTCCGGCAAGAATGGCTTCTATGGCAGCAGCATCCTCCCTCGGTGTGTCGGAAATGCTTGGAAACCCGCTCAACTTTTCCGGTACATCCAAGACGGCTCCTTCCGCATCTAGTCCTGCCACCTTTAAGACCGTCGCCCTTTTCCAAAAGAAGAAACCGGCACCCAAAGCTAAGCCCGTTGCCGTCGCCCCAGCTTCCGACGAGCTCGCCAAGTGGTACGGTAAGTCTTATCACGACCACTACTTTCTCGAATCCTCATGATTTGAATTTCTTGCTTTAACTTGAACTTGACAACAATCTAAATTTATCTTACAGGTCCTGAGAGAAGAATCTTCTTGCCGGAAGGTCTTTTAGACCGATCGGAGATCCCCGAGTACCTCAACGGGGAAGTCGCCGGAGAGTATGTCAAAGCTATATATATCATCTACATTCACAATATGCCATACAAGTAAAACGACTTTTACTAATTTCATCATTTAATGTATATTCAGTTACGGTTATGATCCTTTTGGACTTGGCAAGAAACCAGAAGACTTCGCCAAGTAAGTTTCTATTCACTTCAAAATTAAATTATAAATACAGAGGGAAAAATCTATTCTGTAGTTAATTAATTACAACAATTAATTTTATGCAATGAAGATACCAAGCTTTCGAGCTTATTCATGCACGATGGGCTATGTTGGGTGCTGCGGGTTGCATCATTCCGGAGGCCTTCAACAAGTACGGTGCGAACTGTGGCCCCGAAGCTGTGTGGTTCAAGGTTCGTATCACATCACTTAAATCATATATATCATGGTGATTGGTGAAACTAATTAAAGGACGAAAATTTATGACTCGAATTTGATCATGAGTTTATATATACTTGGGTACATGCATGCAGACTGGTGCTTTACTACTTGACGGAAACACATTGAATTACTTCGGGAAGAACATTCCCATTAACCTGGTCCTCGCTGTCGTTGCGGAGGTTGTTCTTGTTGGTGGTGCAGAATACTACCGAATCATCAATGGCTTGGTATGTAGTATATAGTATATACATATATGAATCATAGAGTTAAGTAGTTTTTTTAGAATGTATACATTCTTTGAATGATTTTGGGAGGTTTTATGTACAGGATTTTGAGGACAAGCTACACCCTGGTGGGCCATTTGACCCATTGGGATTGGCTAAAGATCCAGACCAGTTTGCATTGTTAAAGGTGAAGGAGATTAAGAATGGTAGACTAGCAATGTTCTCCATGTTTGCGTTCTTCATCCAAGCGTATGTGACAGGACAGGGTCCTGTTGAAAACCTAGCATCGCACTTGAGCGATCCCTTTGGAAACAACATACTAACTGTCATTTCTGGAAACATTGAACGAACCCCAACCCTGTAAACCCCTTGTGTGTACTCCAAACAATGTAATCTATATATATTTATTTTTGTATCCACCGTTCATATGAGAAAAGGATCAATCGTTGCAGTGGTAGATGCTATATTTAAGATTAAAAAAAAGTTATGCTTTTCTCTATGACTTTATGATTATACTTATAAGTAACCACTAAATTTATGTGAACATAAGGTTAGGGTTCGATTAATGCTGTTTCATTGGGATATATAATTTTTGTCGCTTGATACGAATAAAATACAATATTTTTCTAGTTATATTATTTAACTACTCACATAAAAAGTAGTATCGGTGGTTGAGTTGGTGGAGAAAATGTTGGTTATTTTAATATCATTAAACAATTAAGTAGTTAATACATGAATGAATTGAAGTCTTAAGCAGCTCAAGAATAAGTCAAAAGGTGCGGAGTTCATAATTGTATGAGCTAGTTTGAACCCAAACATATTGAATGACTGGATGAATGTGAAACGAATCTCTTGACAATCTAACATTTTAAGAAGCAAACCTGAGAAGGTCACGAGACAAGCCCTTGTGGGGTTCGAGGAATGGACGTTTCGTGGGATTCATAGATGCAAACTTGCATTACAAATTCAGCAATGAAATCTTAATATGTAGCATTTAGTTTAAAGGGAACTGATTTGTACACAACATTTTTTCTCCGCACACAACAATTTGTGCTTTAAAGTGTTGTATTGTACAACTTTATAATGCATAAATTGTTGTGTACGGCAAAAAATTGTTGTGTACGAATCACTTCCCTAGTTTAAAGAGGCACAATGACTATTGTGGTTGTAACGGATATCGAATATATCTACCATTCTGAATGAGAATTGATTCGTACACAACATTTTTTTTCCATACACAACAATTTGTGCTTTAAAGTATTGTATTGTACAACTCTATAATGCATAAATTGTTGTGTACGGCAAAAAACTGTTGTGTACGAATCACTTCCCATTCTGAATACGTGATAGTGTTATTACTTCTGATAGGCATATAACTAAATCACGGGTCGGTCCAAGCCAATTTAGGATTCGAGGTAAAAAAATAAATGAGGCCCTATTTGGTCGGTTTAATCAATATTTGTTTTTTTTAAGTTTTATTGATTTCAAGTTGTTCGCTCGGTTTATCGGGTAAACCATATTACAATAATATATTAATATGATGTTCATGTCGTTTGATTTTTTTTTCAATAATACACTAATAAGTGTAGATAATAATACCAATACAAGAATGTGATCATTTTTAACCACTTGGGTTGTGGTGACTTGGTAAGGCATGTGGAAGATATGGTGGATAACCTATTGACACATGTTTAAGTCCTGATACCACTCAGCCCTTGTGGCCATGGAAGTTCGTCTGCAGTAACTCCAAGGCATGAGGCAAAACTTTATGTTTGCAGCGGGGGATTGGTCGGTGCGCGAAAGCTGGCCCGAAAACCCTCATTAGGGAAGTTCACTTTCCAAAAATATGATCACTTTTTAATTTTGTAAACAAAAGTCCAAAATTTGGAACACAATAAATAAAAAAATATATTGCAAGCCATCGGCTACAACCTACAAAAAAATATATTATTTTTCTATGTTTGCTCTTTGCAACAAGTCAAGAACAAATTAACACAGGAAGCATGAATTAAGATTGTAGGAACAATTTAAAAAATATATTTATTTTTCTATGTTTGCCCTTCACAATATGCAACTACAACTACTCGTTTGTGTCGGTTGTGTGGACAGAAATGAAATAGTTGTTGGAATAGTGTCTAAGGCTACAACTATATTAGGTAAGATTTGACACGGTTGTGCATGGTCTTTTTGGGTTGCCTTCACCATAGCAACTTGATAGGATGATTTATTAAGAGAGAGTTAATATTATTAGTATATTATGAGAATAATATAAAGAATAATATATAGTTATTTGATTAATATAAGTCATAGAATTAATTGGAATTAATTTGGTGACTTAAAGAGATTAATTAAATAAGAGGGTATAAATTGTCAACTGTTTGATAGTTACACTTTAGACTATAAATCCTTATCCAAGATAGGATGGACGATTTCTAGGGCTTGGATAAGCCAAAATCGTCTATAGGGTTATCAAGGAAAGAATATGGATTAACTTAAAGTCTAAGTTATCCAATTAGGGTTTAAGCTGTAATCCTTAAGGAGTCTACAAGTATAAATAGACCCTAGGGGTGAGGGAATTCGACACATCATCTAAAGTAGAGACACTCTGGCCGAATTCCTCCCTTCTCCTCTCTCCCAAATCATCCTCCTTGCTATTGGTGTTTGTAAGCCATTAGAGGAGTGACAATTGTGACTCTAGAAGCTCCATGACAACAAGATCAACAAGGAATCCAGAGGTATGATTCTAGATTTGTTTCAATATTGTTTTTACATCTAAATAGTCATTAGAAGTCTTGGATTCAAAGCATGTTTGATTAGAAAGCCTAGATCCTAGCATTAGGGTTTTGCATGCGCACATAGGAAAGTTCTTATGGCTTAAACCATCAGTGGTATCAGAGCCTAGCTTGGTTTTCTTTAAATTGTTGCTTGATTAACTGAAACAAACCTACAAAATTCATTTTTTTTTTGTTTATGAGTCATGGACTCGACGAGTTCCAAAGTGGACTCGGCGAGTCCCTTTGTGTACTCGGCGAGTCCGGGCGTCAGGATTAGCCAAAAACGGGATTTTTTCATATTTATCTTGTGGAAACTTACCTTAATCATATTAGATTAACCCTAATCCGATTTTGTGATATATATGACTATATTTTTGATCTAATTGAAGATAATTATCAATTAATAAAATATTTGATTTCCTTACATGATAATTATTAATTAAATATGGATAATTATGTGATTTAGATTATTTGTTATTTGATCCTTTATGTTTTAAATGTTTAAAACTTGTCCTCAAGTTTTGAAATTTATGTTTTGTGATTAAAAGTTTAATTTAGACAATTTAAATTTCAAACCCTAGAATTTTACAAGTTTAAAATACAACCCTATACTAATATAATATTACAAGATTAATATGTATATATGTATAACTTAAATGCTAGTCTTACCGTTAGTAGGTCTCATTCACGAAGCCGGTCTATAAGGTGGGTATAAGGTTGCGGCCTATAAAATGGCGCTTAATGGGTGTACACTCACACCCACCGCTCGCTTGATTGGTGGAGGGTCGTTAGCCGAACGGGTAAGATAGGGCAACCACATCCTCTCATTAAAAGTATAATATACAAAGTAACTACATCTTTTCTTAAAATTTCCCAATCCTAGTTACTTTAGGAAAGTGAATTGATGCAATCCCATAAAATTACACTTTGCACCTTGCTAAGAAGTTAGTGGAGCGTGTGTGATTTACCGGCACACTAATTGGTTCTAAGCAAAGGTGGCAAAGGGTGATTCATTGTTTATCATAGTTCGATGGAGTGTGTGTGGTTTACCGGCACATCGAATAGGTGATCGTTACAATGAAGGCACCACAATAATTTGTATGGTAATTCACACCCGCTTTGTGATCCTTGGTATCCCAGTCACAAACAAGAGGGGCATATCGAGATTTAAACATGCCATTGAAAAGTTTTTGATGAGTTTAAAACATACTTAAAGATTGATTAGATCTATGAAACAGGTAAATGAATGACTAAGTAAACAATCAAGAACAAGCTAATGAATCAAAAAGTGTCGAATGATTCAATAAACAATCCTCAGAAGAGCTCGATAAAGAACGTCAACTGTAGAGGATTTTAGGGTTTACAATATTCAATGAGAGTGACGACCGTTACTATACGCATACATGCATGCATATATTTATAATGAAACCCTAACAGATTTTCTAATAATAATAAGGCTAATCTAGCTGAACACGGATTGACAAGCCCAATCCGGTTGTAAAACAAAAGGGCCCAAGACGCAACTCTATTATCTTCAACAATCTCCCCCTTTGCGTCTTTGGCACAGAATCTTCATTCTCTTTTGACAGCAGAAGGCTTCTTTACCGTCTCAAAAATCTTCGGTATTATAGCCAGAATGTGATGCCTGAAGGTGATATACCAACGAAGCATGTCAGTGAAGTTCTTCTTGTCTGCTGTTGAGTTCTGTTTGCATCGGTGAATGATATTTATAATATGCTCCAGACAATCTGTAGAAAACAGATGTTTGTCTACCAAAGCAAACAGAAACTTATGCTTGTCGCCTCTGGTGAACATGACCGTCAGATTGGAAGAATCAATTTGCCCTACCTTCATTTTATGAACATCTCCTGTCTTGGAAGTAGGCTTGACGGTCGGTTTCTTATTCATAACCTTTGCTATTTCCTGATCCATAGTGGCGAGCTCATGGATGTAGGAAGCCAACATTCTTTTAAGATGTTTAAGAATCGGTTCATACTCTCTATGGTTGGAGAGAAGAATATTGTATAGCAGAATCCAATCATGCGGATTCAGACTGGGAAGATCTGCCAGAGAAATGAGATGTTCTGTGTTGGCCGTTCCTCTGTTGATTTTGAAATTAACGTTCACAAATTTCCCAGCCTGTGTCGGTTTCAGTACTTTGACTTTAATAATTTTCTGAGCGCTCCATGTCAAGTACTGCGGTTGACCATACTTCAGATAGAAATCTATTAACTCTCTGTCAACCTTCAAGTTCGGATGAGGGACATCGGCAGTGACATCAAAGCAATGAAATGTGAAAGCTTTTCGCGTGATTGGCATGTCGAACTGCGAGTCTTTTGTATTTTCACACTCGAAGGATGCAATCGGTTCCAACCAATATGGAGGGAAACTTAATCGCTTGAGTGATGAGTGTGTCTCTGTCCCAATCTGGGAACAGAGTCTTCTTGGCTTGAATAGCATCCTCATCCTCCTTGATCTTTCTTTCCCAGGCCTTGGCCTCTCGAGCTATTTTAAGAGTTTCATCAAGCTCTTTGTCCCTTTTCTTGCGTTGAAGAGCTTCAGTGATAGTTTCATCTGAATCTGATTCGCTCTCAACAAGGACTTGTTTCCCAGAACCCGAAGCTACATTAACCTTCGGTTCTGTCTTGGACACACCTTCCTCTCCCCCTTGTCGCGGAAGAACAAGCTTCTCCGAGACACCCTTCATTTCACTCAAGATGTTAATAGCAGGAAGGAGTTTAGCCTGGAGATGCTGTCTGATAGTAAGGGTAAGGAAGGGATCATGAGTGTCAAGAACATTTGTTAACAAATTCTTGACATCACCAGCGCAACTTTGAAGAACTGCCCACTGAGTCTTTAGCAAAGAAATTTCTTGTTATGCCTAGGCCAGTTGGATCTTTTGTAAGTCGATGGTTGCCTGGTGCTTGACAAGATCTTCCTTCAGGGTGCTCTCTGCTGCCAGAGAAGAAAAACGTGAATCCAAAGATTTGAGAAATGATGTGGATTCAGTTTTGAGGTCAGCACGCAGAGCCTCAAATTTGGTGGTTTCACCCTGAAGGGTAGCCGAGAAAGAGTCTACGAACGTCTGAAACTTGGCCGCACTGGAATCAGCATGAGCTTTTAGAGAATCAAGAAAGATCTGAGTTGTGTGAACGACCTCAGAAACTTCCTTGGTGGCTTTGGAGCATGAAGCAGCTGAGTTATCGATTGCATCAGTTGAACGATCCAGAGCGTCAGTATACGTCTTGATCGCAGACTCAATGAAGGCTTTTAGCACAACACCCCCGTAGGCTTTATTATCAGCCAGCAGACTGTCAAGTTTGTCGTGAATT